TATAATGTATATGGTTTACAAATCAGTTGACTGGTAGAAAGGTGGAAGGAGGGTGTGGCAGTCTGGGCAAAGAGAGTGAACCTCTGCATTCCTTACATTCCCTCAGTGATGGCGGCTTACGCAAAGCAAAACGTTCTTTTTCTGGAGCTTTGTCTTAAATCGCTCATTCACTTCCCCCTCTTTATTGGACGGTAGTTTTTTTGTGTAATAAGCAGTAAATTGAGATTTCATACACATTATCTTTTTATCTGGCTGAAAATAGAAAGATGTTTGTGTAATGTTTTTTTCTCCCTTGTTCCACTGTTTTATTCTCTGTAAATGGCAGACAAATATAAATGTAGAGCACTAGGGGGGTGATGATGAACAGGGTCTTTTTGGACAGATTATATATGAACGTTTGGTTATTCCCTCTAATTTAAATTACAAAAATAGAATTTGATAGGAAAAAAATTTTTTTAAAACCTTTAACGAACATTTTCTATCAATATCAATTTATACCCGATTCTGTTGTGCATAGGTCTACTTATTCTGACACAAAAGATGAAGTGAGTTGTAGTGTAATTGTCAAATGCTTCAGGTCAGGGAGGAGCCTCTTAGCAGAATTTGCCCAAGGATAAACCTGTACCATTGGAGGCAATGGACCATCAAAAATCCATAAAGTTTTTACTGGCCCTGCGTGTCTTTTTCCTGGCGCCCACTCTGTTTAACTGAGAGAGGTACTCCCTTTTGAACTCCTGAATCAGACTTTCAGAAGATCTGAGTGGCATCTCATTGTCTGTGTGAGTCCTTCCTCCTGCAGGAAATACATTTTTAAATGTATATCTCTAAAAATGGAATGTAGGTCAAATGGAGACAGAATGTGGAGAACATTCATTCCATATGTCCTGCTGGTAGTGTGCAGTAACATGGTGTTAACACAATCCTCCACAGCTCCAACCCTCGCAACTCCGGCACGTTTACAAACATGCACAAAAGCACACTCTGAGGACAACTTGTGAACAGCACATGGGGGAAATATTTTCCCCACAGTACACTGGCCCAATTCATTCCCCTTTTTAATCCGCTCTCTGCTCTCTCCTTAATTTGGTCACGGCTTTTTATGCAGGTTTAAGTCAGACTGAGTAAGTGCTGAACGCCACTGGTTTATTATGCCCCCTTCTCCTACTGTGTTCAAGGTGACTTTCCGTATCTGAGGCGAGGTTTTATTATACATTCTCCATGTGTTGACAAGGTGGTTGGGAAAGACTGTTTTTAACAGACGTTTCAATTTAATTACTTGCTGACGCACACGCAGACCTGAGAACAGCTACACACATGTCACCACACCGCGATTTATTATCTTGAAAAGCATGTTAACTCAGGACATGTTGGCACATTATTATACTCAGAGGTTAAAGTGGGATTCAGGCAGATGAGGAACGACTCTGATCCACATACACAATTTGTTAAGTTTAGGAAAACACTGTAGAGTGTTTTAAAAAAGAACAATATTCACTGTGAGCTATTTTGCGATTTTTTTTCCACAAACATAGGCAGACATATTGATTTACTTCATCTTTCAATGCACTAAACAACATTGGAGGCGTATTGGACTTTCCTGCACATTGAAAAGTGATAAAAAGACACGGTGCGTGATGCCAAGGGGTCCTGACCAATCCCATATGTGACAGGTTCAGAGCAAAGGCCCAGTCACATGAACATATCAGCAGCAAACCTTCTCCTCCGGTTCACTTCCAATCTCTGTGAGCGAGGAAGAGGTAAAACATTTGCATCCTCTAGCAAAGCAAATCGTAGTGTGGCTTCATGTGCTGTTCAACTTTGGTGAACTTTGACCTGCGAAATACCTTTTGCATTTGCGTATGTGTGACCTGGCCCTAAGACTGGAGTGACTGCAGCACATTTAAAGTAAACTCACCTGACCTTAATATGTATTAAACTGCCAATCTGATCAATTTTATATTGGCAGGTGTCACAATGTCGTTCTAATGTATGTCTTGAATGGCTGACTAACGAAGAATTTCGTATTTTTTGCGATAATTTTAAATGTTTGGTTCTTCAAAAATCTAATTTTCAGAATTCAGAAGAGAAGGTCTGAGGGGAAAGAGACAAATAAGATGAGATCAAAGTATCAGTACACATATATAAATTGTAAGTTGTTGCAGAGGGAGTTATTACCCAGGTTAAATTCAAGGTCACAGTCTGCCTGCTTGGTTTGCAAACTGCAGTGCAGTTGTGTCACATCACAGGCAGAAACATGTAGCTCCTGACTTTCCTCTCAAAGGAAAGTTGCATACTTAAGGCTTAAGTCATATGTTACACATATACTGTACACAAACACAAAACACATGGCAAAACATTATGCACACCAAAAATACATGGTATTATTAATGCAGTGTATTGACCCTCCACTGCAATTGGACAATAAAAACATCATTTCCTACAGACCATGAGTGTGAACACACATTTATATAGCCTGTTAATTTCAATGTTTTTAAATGTACTATATAGGTCTCCTAAGAAAGGGTTTCTTTCTCTTTCCCATCAGAACCATTTCTACTGTATGTACCCTTGAGATCTTTTAAATGGTTGTGTGAACATTTCCATCCATATAGGACGGGTTTTAGATGTGTATTGTTTACATCCTTGTCTGCGTTCCAGTAGACATCGTCCCGGCCTTTTAGAGCACATTGCTACAACCACCAACTCTTACATCATATGTGCATGATAAAGGCTTTGCTATGACAGCATGAGAAGGAAAAAAATGCCACAGGGCTTCAAGTCCTTTTATCCAAAATAATTAAATTCCGGTTCTGACGGAAACAGCAGTGTAAATTTGAGCAAGTCAGTCATGTTTTTCGACTGTGTGGTTTCAAGTTGTTCAAACGCTTCTTCTGGTTACTGAGTGTGAATGACTAAGGGTTTCCTTGTTTTACTCTGCAAGGTTTCCAGATAACTTTGTATAACCACCTCCTTGAAAAGCCAGAGAGTTTTCCTTTCACAGATTAAATTATCACGAGACATCATCATCATCAAAGCAAATTTATACATGCTGTTACATGCTGACAGGGAGCTTAAATATTGCACTTGCTCAGTCACACTTAATGTAAACACTGCTGAGTCCTTTGGTGAAGCTGCACTGTAACTGAGCAGTTTCACAGCTCAGTGACTTAACAAGTTACAATACACATACAATAATACCGTGGTCTGTCATCAGAAGAGCATCAAATTGATGCCAATGGATGAAAACAAGTTTTTGATGTGCAGGTTTCTAGGTGGTTGTATGAAGCAATGGCAGTGAAAAGAAAAATAACAATATCAGTGATTGATTTAAAAGTAGTTGAGCTTTTTTTAAGAAAGAAAACTCTTATATGCTTTATATTTTTCTTAAAAATGTGAAAAGCTATAATATGCGGATTCAACTGTGAAACCATGTTAGTTACCACATGAACGTTTTTTTGTTTATTTTCTATGAATCTTAAACATGACCTTCAAATGCTGCACCTATTTGTATTTATATTCATGTTACCACGTGATTGTGGATGCTTCCGATTATCCAGTCTGACCTGAAAACAATATACGTTTTTATTTTCTTCTAGTGAAACAAAGGCAGCCATGAACCTGTTCAGGAAGGACGCCATGAGCTCAAAGAAGGAGAAGGATAAAGAGATCGAATATGAGGACCCTCCAGATGGAGGCTGGGGCTGGATGGTGGTGCTGCATTGCTTCCTGGTATGTCCACTTCATGTGTATATTATGATGGTGACTTATCCAGTGTAATAATGTCAAAGTATTACCTCTTGCCTAATGGCAGATGGGAAAACTTAAAGGGTAAGAGGTATAGAGAATGGATGCCTGGTTGGATCGATTTATTGGCATCTAGTGGTGAAGTTGCATATTGCAACCAAATGAATGCACCTCACCTTTTAAGCATGTAGGAGAACCTACGATGGTCTTCAGATTAAAAAACATAAAATAATCTCTAGAGTCACTGCTTGGTTCATTCATCTGTTATGAACGACTGTAGAGGTGCAACAATGGCAGACTTTGTGAAACACAACCCACCAGCTGTGTAGTATAAAAGGCTCATTCTAAGGTAACGGATGATTTTTAGCTTCAGGTGAAAACATCATAATGATTCAATATATTATATTTAATTTTTGATTATTGATCCTAAATCCTAAATCCTGAACCTCAAAAAAATAACAGATTCTGGAATTTTTACACAAATTTGCTTCAATATTATGCAAAAAAGAAATGTGTTGGAAAAATCTTATCCAATAACATTTATCATCACTTGTGCCACTTTTTGTCAACACTAATTGTTGCTGTAATTGCAGCTGATGGTCTGTTTCTCATTATTTCCATGTGTGTACTCAGGTAAATGTCCTTGTGATGGGAACACTGAAGAGCTTTGGGATCTTCTTTGTGGCTTTCCAAGACGACTTCGGAGGCTCGGCAGAGAGCATCAGCTGGATTGGTTCCATCATGTCGAGCATGCGGCTGTCTGGAGGTTTGAATCTGCATCGTCTATGTAGCTCATTTGATTGAATTCTCCCTCCTTCTTTAGCTCTTGTTTTCCTCTGCATGCGTGTTTACTCTCAAGGATGAACGGCAGAAAACAAGCGACATATTTAGATCCTGAGGTTTTGTGCTTCCTCCTCTGTGTGTATTACAGCACCCATGGCCTCTGTGGCGTGTGCCAAGTTTGGAGCTCGGGTGACCTCCATCACTGGGGCGGTGCTGGTCAGCGGAGGCTTCATCATGAGTATTTCAGCAAACAGCGTGGTGTTCCTCTACGTCAGCATGGGAGTGATAGTTGGTGAGTTGAAATGAGACTCAAATTAAACAGTTTTTCTATGGCCCTCCTCTGCATGAGGACAGCTATTTAAGTCGGTGGATGTCAAACTGGAGGGTGGGGGCATACAGCCACTGCAAGGGTGGCAGGGGAGGTAAATAAACAAGTTCAATTCAAGTTGGAATTTCTTTATGTGTTGTTTCCCCTATCATTATGACACAAATATGTCAAATTCGTGACTTCTGAAGTGGGTCACGACAGAAAAAGTTTGACAACTACTGATTTAAGGACATTGTTTGTGAACGACTCTCTCTTGACTGCCCACATTCCTATGACTGACACGCTCTTTGACCACCTTTTTCACTTAGGGATGGGTTTCGCACTACTATACCAGTCCTTCTCAGTGGTCACAGCTCTTTACTTTCGAAAGAGGTTAGCAACAGCGTATGCGATTGGACGTTCTGGGATGGGTTTGACGTTTGCCCTCGCCCCGTTCACTCAGCTGCTCCTGGACCTATATGCCTGGCAAGGTAGGCAGCACAAATCTTTAAAATTAGCAGCCAGTGTTTTCTCAGCATTTTCTGTGGAAGGTTGAGTTTTATTTTGTTCCACAGGGGCGATGCTGATTCTTGGAGGTCTAATGCTGAACCTGGTGGCCTCTGGCATGCTTCTGCGACCCATCAATGTAAAGCCTCCTGTACCAAACGCTACCTCTTCCCCCACCCAAAAGAGCCCTGCTGTTTCCCTCAAGAGTGCCTCAGAGAAGGAATACACCAAGGGCTGCTTGAACGGCTCCTCTCACTTATCCAATGGCACCGCCAAATCAGACTCTTCCCCTTCCCTTGCTCCCCCTCACAGGGACACTGAGGACCTGGGGGGCCAATGTACTCAGGGACCCGAGGACCAGTCAGTGAAACCTGAACTGACCAGACTGGTCCTCAGTGGTGTGAATGGCCACGAGCCTCACCATGACTCGGTTCAGTGTAAACCCACCACTCCGGACGGCTCAGCCGAGCACAACGGCGGCATGAATGGTTCCACCATTGTTGGACATCCCTCGCATGCCAGCACACCCAGCGAGGTGGCTGTCAGAAAAACCAAAGTACTGGATTTTTCCCTGCTTAAGGACCCGTTCTTTTGCATCTACACTTGGTCCGTGGTCTTCAGCCAGCTGGCCTACTTCATCCCTTATTTCCACCTCTCTGCCCGAGCCAGAACCCTGGGCATCGATGCCATGGATGCTTCATTTATCATCTCTGTGGCAGGTGAGGCACACATCGGTCAAAAGTTCCTACTGTGCTGTTATTATCCATCTAAAAGGAATAGTGTGGCAGAAGTCTATTCGCTCTCTTGATTAGGGTTACATGATGTGATTAACACCACTATCATGTTTATGAGCAGAGCTGCTTCTCGTAGCATAGCATCAAATAGAAAAGCAGAAACAGCTCCAATCAATAATTCACTAATGAGTTGAATCTCTTCAGTGGAATGTGTACAAGCACCAGTGTAAAAACAAAACTTCGTTCAGCAGATTACACAAAAGAATTAAATATTTTTTACTCAAGACAATCAGTCATATATAAATACACAGGCGTCTGAGAAACATGATTTTCACACACACACAGACGGTTTTGTTTTGTGGTCGATCAGTAAAGGGTGTGTCCTCTAATTGGTGTCACAGTGTTTAGTTGTGAAGAGCAGGTGAAGTTCAACCAGAAATCCCCTCTTTAACCTCACCTCCCTAATTAAAACATTTTAAATTAATCTAATATCTAATATCTAATAGAAGAACCCTTTTCACAAGACTTCCATCCCTGGTTAACTCTGTAGAGCTGTTTTCAGACATTCACTGGACTCCAGATATTCTTCTGAAATTATGTGAGAACACAAACATCCGAGTCATTGTCTGCAGATATTCTTCCTGCCAGCCCCCTGGTTAAAACTCAGGAGAGTGAGCCTATGTGAGAGTGGAGATGGATATTTTATGGAGAATTGACTGTGAGTGAGTGGGCACGATGATGATGTTTCTAACATGTGACACACATAAAACAAAAAAAACAAAATGGATACAAAGATGTTAGAATGAAAGACAACACTATTTGAGAGCTTTTGTTGATAAGGGGCAAGCCTGCATTATCAATGTGCTGTTAACAAAAACACGAGGAATCTATACGTTATGTCCTGTCCCCTTTATGATCAACCCAGCAGGCGCCACCCTTCACCTAAACACTCCGGACATTTTCCTGTTGTTGTAAACGCATCTGACCCGGATAATCTCCTGAAAGACAAAGTCAGGATAATGTCTGGACAAATTGATTTGCACATTATCTGGAGTTCACATCTAACACTGTAACTGTTCATTTTTGTCTCACCTCGTCATACTTTTTAAACATAGGTAATTGTTTAATGTCCCTTATGAAGGTCAAAGCTGTTCTCATCACGAAAGCTGTTGCACAAATGTCTATTAGATAAGACACTGCTTACACATGTCTGAGACATGGATAAAGCTCAAAGTCAAACAAACACACTCTTTATGAACTGACTGCTGCGTATCTTTGACTGTGGCTTCCAGCAGGAATTTCATAGACTGTGAGGAAGGAGGTCCAGGTTTAAGGGGTGATTCAAAAAAAAAAAAAATTCCCTAGTCAACTTCTAGGCATTAATTATTTGTGAGCTGCTCAGTCTCTGCAGTCTTATGTAATGAATGTGCTTACATAAAAGCTGAACTTTGGTCCACTGGCCAGGGTGGGTGGGTTCAGCAGTACGCCATTGATGAGGCCACTCCATATGAACAGAAAACAGCATTAACATGTTGACCACAGGCCACATGTGCGTGTGTAATTCTGTAGGAGTGCTTTGTCAGGCTGTGTGAATAATTGAAAGGCTCCAGATGGGGTCGAGCATTTATGAGTTACATGCTTCTGTTTTGTAATCTCTCCCTCTGTACTCAGTAAAGGTATGTGGAGAGAGTGTTACCTTTTAAATGTAACTTTCACATGGTTTGAAGATGTATTGAAGTTGATGGTGTGAGAGATGCACATACATACAGTTATTTTCATTGCGCATCTTTTAAACTTGTAATTACATCTGATTGTTTCCTTAAAGGGAAAATTCCCTCATTATCTACTCAGCACTTTGCCGATGGATGGGTGGGTGAAGTGTTTGAATCCACAAAACACTTTTAGAGTTTCAGGGGTAAACTGCGTGGCAGCCAAATCTATTACAATAGAAATAACTGATGGCCGATTCTTCAAACAGAAAAAAACAGAAAATGCCTCCATACTGCTCCTGTGGTGTCATCCAAGTCTCCGTAAGCCTCGACATTCAAATTCAACTTTAAACGGTGTCATTTACACTGTGGTTAGCCTAAAGGTCCGCTCCCAGAAGTAGCGATGCTACCCTGCACATTGCACGTATCCTTGGGCGAGAGTTTGTGTGCAGTGTTTGCGTACTCATACCTCTGCCAAGATCCTATAGTCCTTTTATAAAACTACATCTAACATTCACTATAGCTGTGTTTTTATTTGGACCTGTATCAAAATGTAATAAGTTCATCCCTGACCTACACCGCATCCTTCCACAAAGTTCCGTCCTGTACTTTTTGCATAATCTTACTTGCAAACAAACCAACCAACAAGCAAATGGACAGTGGTGAAAACATGTGGTCCCATGACATAAAACTAAAAATAGATATTAAAGAATTGTACAATATCCTGGTTGTATGTGCTAGTTTATCAGCTTGGCACATCTTGACTTGACTGTAATTGCCCACAAAAACGTTTCTTCAGGTCACCTTCAGGATTATTTTTGGGAGCTATTTTTGACCCCACCTCTGACACAAGAAAAGCATGATGCTGACACCGTGATAATATCCGTTAACATTTATAGTAACACTACACTACACTCTGTTTTATGTTTCACCCTTGGTAATTGTCATTTTATGCTGCATTCACTTGAGATGGGAATTTCCAATGGAACCACTTGGTGATAAGTAATGAACACTATGCTGGTTTTTACTGGTGGAAATTTTGTGTTTTTCATGTGGTTTTGGAAGACATCATTTTTTTAAATTTAGCAGGACATGTTTTTTTATAGCCCAGATATTTATGCAGCCTCCTGGAGATTGATGTCACATGTAGGAAGCAACAACTATTGTTACTCCAGTGTCAAAGGCCTGTCCATACCTGGTTCTAGGCTTCATTACTTTTTTAGTTGCCATTGCTTCTTTAGTGTTCGTTTAGGTCAAATAGCTAAATTCTCAATGACAAGTTCTCCTTTTTGGAGAGATGTCACTGTTACATCTCTTTCATGCTTCAGGCTCTTTGTGGAGGATGGATTTTGTACAACTAAGAAAATCTTATTTTAGGTTTTTATTTTGGGGTTTATCAGTCATTTTAATTTCACAGTAATACAAACTACTGTTGAACATAAATTAGAATATGATTGGTGGATTCTGAACACAGCCCCATCCTCTATTGTAACACACTAATGGAACAAGTGTGCTGTAATTATATTCCCCAAGTTATTTTAGGTTATAGGTCACATTGAAGGTGGAAAAAGTTATGAAATTATTTATTTATGTCTAATTTTTCATATCACATAACCCTACCTTTTAAACTGGGCTGTGTACGCTTTTTATATCCACAGTATGTTATCTTGACTTCCAGCAAAAATACAGTGTTACCTTTGTCAACGTAGACGAAACCGCAGCTGAGCGCCACCAATGCAAGAGAAAGTGGGGAAAAAGACAGAGGACGCAAGAAAACACTACTTCCTTCACGAGAAAGGCAGCTGAGATGGAGGCATTAATGGTTTGAGACCAAACTATGATTGGGGTCAAATAACATGGCTGTGTGAAATTACACTGGATATACTAAAACAGGTTTTAGACCAGTTTTTATGGAACCTCATCTATTGAGCTGTAAACAAACACTATCTGGTGGGCTGTTGGTTTACCAAGATGAGGATTTGTCCCAGCAAGTAGCAAGCAACACGTTTGTTCTGTCACATTGTCTGGTCATGTGCGCTGTAATGAGAGAGAAAGAGAGACAGAGCAAGGGAGACAGGGTGCCACCAGCACCACAAAGCCGACATCCCAGTGTCCCGCTGTGCCTCCTTCCCCCGGGCCCAGTGCTCGTCATAGAGGCCCATTGACTGGGCTGAACGAGGGAGGCCACTATCATCCGGGTCGGGTCTGTTCGTCAACTCTCAGCCACCGAAACTGGAGCTAACTGAAGTCGCTAAGCAACAGCTTACCGAGTAAAGTTGTTGGCGTGGTGACAAGAGGGGGCTCTCAATGTTGTTCATGTCCAGTTCTAAAGTGGCCGATCCTTTTCAGAGGCGCACTGAGGCGGCAATCTGTACAAAAGAGGAGGCAAGACGGGCCAACAACAACGTCAGAGGAGCTGGAAGGACCAATATTCCTGTTATGAGCCGCTGCTTTAATCTAGTGATGAAATGTCGTGCTTTGAATCAGAGGGATTGCAGCTTGCATTTGTTGATACCCTCCCTGTTTAAGACATAGGCACAAGCAGACTCAAAGACTCAGATGCACATCTCAAATGGAGAAACCAGATCAGGACAGGGACTGTTCTCTGGGGGAGGGGAGACAAATAAATTCAGGAGAAACCCATTACAGAGGAGCAGGTAATGAGAGGGTGTAGAGCAGGAAGTGAAACAAGACAAGAGGTGAATATTTCATAATAAAACAGGTAATAATTACTGAAACACAAGGTTCTCTACTTAAACGATATAAGTGCATGGTCTGAAGCACATGACAAAAGTGCATGTGCTGTTTGGACAAGAACATTTACGACTGCATGAGTCTGAAATCAACATTCACGTTGCAAATGGCGCATTGGATGCATTGGATGTGAGACAGGGCCCATAGGAATAGACAAACACGACATTAGCAGCAGCAGGATGAGATGTGACAGCTAATACACCTATACATTTTAGAGCTACAGAGAAAACCGGACAAAACTGATCAAGTCCCCAGTGCACTCAGCTTCAGCTGCTACTTGGAGAGGCCAAATCCAAACCGCATTGTGCTGCGTTTGAACACGAACAGCTGTAGGCCTGGAGAGACCTGCTGAGACTAAGAGACACAAACAAACTCACAACTCGTCTGTATGTAAGCAGGAGACACCGCGGGACGTTGTCTTTGGGTCGCCAGAGGAGGACACACAAACATAGCACAGCTGCATCATGTCATCTCGCTAACCTCGGAGGAGAGGGACGCTCTCCATTCTGTTATGTAAGGAAAGTGGAGGCGTTCACTGACGGGACTAAAAAACTGTTCATTCATTTGGGTTTCATTCAGAGCCTCAAAGATTGAAAATGTAACTGATCATCATTTATTAACGTCCACGTGTTGATGGATGTAAGATGACATGTAAATTCTTAACTTGGTACTTTCACGTAAGTGCTGCATGAATGCTCATATTCAGCAGATGTTTCTTCTGCATCGGTTTGAGCTCAGTGTGGAGTTGTGCTGCAGAGGCTGAGAAAGAGGATGGGTAACTCTGATCTGCACAGAACCAGTTTGTTTCATTGATCAGTGTGGCTAAGCGCAGCCTGCTTGTAGCTATTCCTGTGACAGGTCAATACACCACTGCAGTTTCCGCATCGCCTATCGCGTTCCAGTTGACCTCAGCACATATTTGGCCAGTCATCATACTGTACCTGCATGGAGCATACAATCTATCAGGATGGGCTGGATTGTAGCTGAGCTGGGTGTTGTCTGTGTTATTCAGTTCTTAACATGCAAATATGTTTTTGCCTTCTTTCTCTGGTATGGCAGCATTCTTATTTCACCGAAAGGAGACAACAGGGACTTGTCTAGACCTGGTGCAATGTATTATTACATCTACGCCCCTTTGTTACAGGGTGCATCACATTCTTTCTTTGCCCTACAATCACACAAGCACATGCACATGCAATATATTCCCACACTCCTTCCTGCATTTGTTTTATAAAGCAGACAAGAGGAGCATTATTCTAAAAATACCAAAACACTTGGTATGCTCAGAGCTTCCTGCATCCATCCTTCACAGATTATTTCAGGTGAATTTCAACTTCACTACCAGTTATGTGTTTGACAGATAAATAGATAAATGTGCATCTGCCCCATGAAACCTAAATAGTAGTAAATATGTTTTTAAATAATTGTAGATCACTCTGGTTTCTAGGCTGGACTGAATCTGGATTTCTAAAGGAGAAGAGAGCAGCTCTTTCCAAACAGCAGCTTTCTGTTACTACCTGAATATTTTATTGTGGTGGATGTGTTCCCCCCGTCTGTCCCTCTTCTCTCATTCCTTCCTTTTAAGAGGCTCCTTTCATCTCACTCTCTCCGTCACAGTTTACTTTATTTCTAACGTCGCTTTTTATTTTATTTTCAACATACATGATTGATTGGTTGTTTTTTTATTACAATACACCATTATTTAGAGAAAAGAAAAAGAACAAAAAAGGAAAGAAAGAAACCAGGGTAGCAGCATCAAGAACAATGTTGAACAAATAAACCATCCTCGTGTTTTTTCCCAGATTTAAAAGTAGTATACAATTTGTTTTGTATCACAGCATGAATTATCTCAAGGGACTTTAAGGTGAGATCGAGACCTTACAAGATTGAGACTCATCTGCCTCGACTGGTTGTAGTGAGAGGATGAAACTGTGGGAGAGAAGAGAGGAGGGTAGAAAAGAGGGGAGGGAAGAAAGAGAGAGACCAGGACCAGTTGTGTAACATTTCATTTAATATAGATATTCTGAGGCTAGTACAGAAGAAAATGTCATTCATTCTCAACCTCTTGGAATTCAGACAATTAACCTGTTGTCCTCAGAGATGTTTTTCATCAATTAACTTTTAGGGCCAGAGGAAGAATTCCTGTTCTCAGCTGTGCAACTTAAGACCTTTGACTTCCTCAATACATTTGCTGTAACATAAGTGTGCATGATGTGAATTTAAAACATTTTTCTTCAAATGTAGCAAATAATTCCTCTAATTGTGTTCAGGCTGCATGATAAATTCTTCTACATATACATTTACACACATCTCACACAAATGTATCTCCACCTGCCCATCCCCCCCACCTGTTTGCCTCTTGTTACAGGTATCACAGAGACCATCGCCCAGCTAGCCTCGGGCTGGATGACAGACAGGAACCTGTTTCATAAATACCACTACCACAAAGCCTACCTGATCCTCTGTGGCCTGGTCAACCTGCTGTCCCCACTCGCAAACTCCTACATCCTGCTCATGGTCTACGCCATCTTCTTTGCCGTCTTCTGTGGCGGCTACATGGCGCTGCTGCTGCCTGTTCTAGTAAGGAGACCATCATATCCGAGCAGTGTCATGCCTGTGTTCTCACTTCAATCAACCTCTGTTACTATAGTTCACCAGGATTAAAAATTTCAGAAATAATAGATAAACAGATTTATTTGGTCAAGTTTGTTTTTGCATGAAATAATAACAACATAAATGTGTTATTAATATATAAATTTTCCGTTAAGGTGTAGGCTGAAACTGAGACGCCCATTCTCATCACACATAGCACTTTACTCTAGCGCATCCAAACTTTTACATATTCTTCACTATCCAGATAATAACTATTACTTTACTATCACCATCTCCAACACATAAAACCCAATATTATTACTTCATTAATTATTAATATGATTATTTATCTGGGACTCTATTTTTAAAACATCCTTTAAAACTGTACATTGTGCTTTCAATTCATTCTCAAGATCATTCGATGGATTCACCCCTTTTTTCCTTTAGTCCTCGCCCTAAATGCTTTGTTACAGGTTACAGGTGCCATACTTTTCTTTGATTTTTAATTAGTGATGAAAAATTATTAATGAAATTCATGTGAGGGTTTCCTGGAATAAGCTGAGAAGACTTTCGTATAAATGAAGATCTTGGTTCAGTTGGTTTGTCCACATGGTTTATATTATTCATTGTTTGTGGAATTAGTTGTCCTGTATTCGGATCTGTTTACAGCAGATAAACTGAACATGCAACAAGCAAACAATAAGAACATGCGTGCAGCTAGAGCAGAAGGGGGTGTCTTTTCTTTTTTATAGACTTTTGGTCACAAACCAAAAAATTAGACAAATTTTAACTACATGAAAAGTAAGAGGATCACCTCAGTGATTACGAGACATTCTCTGGAGATAATGAATTTCTGCACCAAATTTCATAGATTTCATCCAATAGTTGTAGAGGCAGTTCACCTAAAGCCAAGTTAAGGGATTGGCGATACCATTTAAAGATTAAAAATAAAATAAAAAAGTAAAAATGTCAAGGCAATAATGCGATTCTTCTGTCTGGACCAAAGCGATAAAATATCACAGTGAATGAAGACGTTCTTTAAAAGATAAATTCAACAACTTCTTCCAAACCCAACACAGCTAACTCGTTTTTGACTAAATACGTAATTTTTCTCAGCAAACATTACTGGTGTTTTAGGACACTCCCCATTTTGCCAGTTGGTACAAAAGTCAACAGTAAACTCAGTTAAATTACAACTTTCAAGGATTCAAGGGTTTATTGTCATATGCACAACAATTACATTTTGCAGTCGCTGGCAATGAAATGCTTGAGTCACAGGCTCCCCTCCAGCCATGCTCAGAAAATGACACAAGGGAAAAAAAAAAAAAATAGAATATAAAAAATGAAATAGAATATATACAATAATAAAGCTAAAGTATTAAAATAAAATAAACTCTGTGTTTCTACAAAGCAGGGTTGGAACAAATTGTCCCTACACCCTCTGGTGCAGGAAGTTGTAGAGTGTATGTTGTGACCAGAGGACAGACCTGTTGGTCAGGTGCTCATCCTGCAAATAGATAATGATCATATAGGTTAGAGGTTAGGTAAAGGCAGAGCAGCACATTCTCCAGACTTAAACCCCAGCGAGCAGGTTTGAGTGCAGTACACAAACTCTGAGCAACATTTGATTTTCCATCATAGAAAGAATCATCACAAGTAGGAGTAGGAGATATGTTGAAGAAGTATATCATGATACAAATGTTCCTATCAGTTGATACTGATACATATAATGTTCAATGTCACATTATTTTTTATTTGAAGTTTTAAGACAGATTTTTGATATTGAGTGAAGGCTCTAGTTTTAACCCTACAGACAATGACAACACTTGATAAACGGCTAAACACATCTGACCTATTCACTGTGCTTATGCAACGCAGAAGAAATATTAACATTGATTTAAACATTGTTATATCTCTATTGATTGCTATTGCTATCAATGAAAATTATTTTGAGATAAATATTGATATCTGGTTTTTTTCACCCAACCCTGATCACAAATTTGCTCAGATGCTGGATGTGCAAAAACAAGATCTCCAATTGTTAATTTGGTGTTCTAAAAGTTTTATATACTGTTGCCAAACTTTCACTGATAAATTCAAAGATGTTAGAATGGTTCAGCTCAGCTTTAGTCATAAACTTGTCATCGTCACAGTGCAGTTAAGATTCTGTGACTCCGTGGTCCCTGAAGGCTCACACAGTGCTCTCTCTATATCACTTGACTGTTCACACGACACCATCAGCGTCACTCTCGCTATTATCAGAGGTTAGATTATTAACCACGCAAGACCCTTCAGTATTAGATCATATCAGACTATTATACCGGGTGAATTCATAGTAAACTCTATTTGTGTTGGGGGACTTTTCTACCACGTAAAGGTGAAATTACATCATTACATCATTGTGCTACGTACTGAGAGGGAAAAGTATTGTTGAAGCAGATGATCGGTGATATTCCTCAGCTGCCGTTGTGGGTGGAACAACGCATTAGGTCAGCGAGTATCCAGTGTCTTGAGGTCCCATCACACCTGAAAACAAAAACATGAGAACATATGTGGTGTGACTTCATTTGGCAATGGTGCAGTCTCAAAGGCCAAGACTGGCCTCAGGGCCAAAAAGATGAGAAGCGTGACTGGAGACCATCTTGGGATGGGATCGCACCGACCGTGACACTTGACAACATGGTGACGTTGTGAGCCAGTGCTCGGTAGTCATTACTAAATTATTGGATTTGTACTCCTGGGTTTATCCACACCCATCTTCAAGATGGGACTTCATTGTGATCTGAGTTTTGATACCATGACATTACCGTGCCAAAGTACTCAAAACCTGTTACAGTTGTTATTCCCGCCACAGCAGGAATACATTTTGCCATGATTACACACACACATACCTCACACACATACTTCCATCTTTTTGAGGTCACTCATCATGGTTCTTATCCAAACCTCAACCATCACAAATGCCTAATCTCAGCCCTTGGCCTTACCTTCACTCAAAACTATTTTTAACCTGAAACCTGACACACACACAGACAGATGCCCATTCTCTTTCCTTTAGGGAACTTTTTTGTGGTCACTACTCAAATGAGTACAGGCAGAAATGACGTCACTGTCACAGTGGCCACAGCAGTGTTTACAGCAGATGAAGGAGCTGTAATTTTTAGCTGTAAGGTGAAAAGAAGGGCCACAGCAGTGGGGTAAATAATGTATTGAATGTATAAAACTAAGTAATGAATATTTCAAAGACGATCATATAAAACAATTTTACCAGAACCTAACAATTATAAAGCTGTAAATATGGGCACTTTGAATTAATGCATGTCTGCCCCTGTTTAAAAAGGATGACAGGTGTCTACACGTCATAAAACACGCTGTCATCATGTCATGCCATCTAGTTTGAACTGAAGCAAGTAGTGACTGTTATCTGAGACGTTCTTTTACGACGTGTGTGTTTGTGTTGACAGACATGTGCATCAAAATTATACACCGTAAATCCAAAGGCTAACTAAAGGGTCAGCCTAAGGCCAATGTGCAAAGCAAAGGCCTGGAAGCTGCTTTCACTCCCAAAGATTAATGACTCTTTCAGCTCGAGGCAAATATTAGAACTGAGTTACTGATGTTTGCTGTCGCAGCTGAAGCAGTGACATATACCTTATATTTTCAGTTATAACAGGTTTATAAACTGTGATTTGGACATTTGGTCGTTTGAGGTTTCACTTGCTGTTCTTTTCCCTTTATTTATAAATCAATTTTAGTTTCTTACATTGTAAGCATTTAAATTGATGAATCTTTTCATCTTCCTGGTAGAACTGGATGGCTAAAAACTACTGATAAAAATGTACATGTCGATATTGATGTTGATAATGATCATGAGAAATGTCACATTATTATTTCTTTTAACTCTTTTAGTCTTTAACTCTTCTATATGAGCAGAGACTGACAAACAACAAAACATTTAACCTATGTGAAGCAGATCAATCATGTGTTACACCTCCTCACTGTGCTTACGAAATGCTTTTGTGCTAGCGTTTTATTGCCCAGCCTATCGCTACTTATTCATGTGAGTTGTACAGAAATAAAATATACAAAACACTCACTATTGGTTATATCAGTTAGAGTCAGTGGTAACGTGTTGTTCTGCTCTTCAGGTCGATCTCGTGGGGGCAGAGAAACTCAACAACTCCATGGGCTTCTCCATGTTCTTTGTCGGCCTGGGCTGCCTCACAGGGCCTCCATTAGCCGGTGAGTGGATTGTGCCGTTTAAAACCTTCAGGATTTGTACACAATAACAAATATTTATACATGTGCACTGCATGTGCACAGGATTGGAGCCAATAGCCATGACGTTTCTTTTCCTGAAGTGATTTGTAGCACAGAGTGAGAGGTTGAGGCTTGTACACAGGTGTAATAGCTTCAAACAGGCAGTAAGGGAGTGCAGGGTTGGTTGATGGGTCTGACATTTTTCTTTTGTCGTTGTTTGAGGCCCTGAATTTCTTGCAGTGCCTCTAAGTGTGTGTTTGCCGGCTTATGAGCACGGAACAGACTATGGAGGATGAAACTTGAAATGCACTGGAGAAAAACAGCCTAAAGTTAGTGCAGATTGGGACTTTGGGGGTTGCTGGATCAGATTTCATGCTGCCTACGGGCGAATCATGTGTTCATGGCATGGTTTGAGTCACTTTGTTTAAGTGATGGCAGATTGTGCTTGTTAGCCGCACAGAGCTGTTTCTAATCTGAGATCAGTTTTTTGTTACAGTGTTTTTGTCAGATCAGGTTGAACAATGTCCTTTCTAGGTCAGCTCAGAAAATACCAGCAACACCGATCATCTGGTCAACACATGAGATGAACCACTTTATATCAATATATGGAGCACTGAAACTTTGCGCAGAGCTTTCTCTGACTGTGTGAGGTATTTCCAGGAAAAAACAATCTTCTGGCCCTTGCAGTTAACATTTGGCCCCAGTTAAAGTGTAGTGGGGGGGGTATGGGTGTTTCGGGATTGAAATATGACTAATGACCCCCCTTTAGGGTGAAACGGAAGTAGCCAGAGGCTCTGTTTACCACCCCTGTAGTTCAAGTAAGAAACTGGTTTTAGGTAAAGCGTTGTTGTGCCTTCGGGCCACAGGTTGTGATAAAATCCCTGTTGACCAGTTTCTCTGTCAACTGTTTTACCAGCAGCCACCGCGCCTGCTTTTCATTTGCCTCCCACAATGCACCTGTTTGAAAAGAAATGTCAACATGACTCATTGTTAAAGAAAACAAGTAAGAACACAGGAATGAAGTTATGGTACACTGCCACCTGCATATAGTCGACACTAAGGTCATCCATATGCCAAACAGGTGAGCATTAACTATCTGTAATGTGAAGAATGAAAAAAAAACTTATTTA